AAAAAAAAAAAAAAAAAAGGAAGGACAATGTACTGGCCACTCGGCCCAAAGCCATCAGTTCTGCCTATGATATAGATTACAACATCCTCTAGAAATAGCCAGCTTCTGTTCTTCCCTTTTCCAAATATCTTAAGACTAGGTTGAAGCACTCCTTTAAGTTACTTAGGGGACACGCTTCCCGCTTCCCTCTACGAAGGCTGCTGCTATGGCTTGGTGTCAGGCTCCAGGACCAGCCCTGGATGGTGCAAAGTCGGATAGCGCAGAGGTGGGTGGAGAGACTGGCAGGTGTGCAGGATGTCCAGAAATCTCTTCCTCCCTTACCTTGTCTCACTACGGAACGTAAGAGCATTTATGAGAGAATGTCATACAGAAAGATCACAGACTGCATGTGAAAGAAAAACAAGCGTTTTCAAATCACTGAAGAAATCGCTCTAGAATGATGATCCCTCCTGAGCTGCAATCATCTATTCAAACTGTCTTCCAAAAGTAGGATCATCGATCATTTCCATCATGATACAAAGTGGTAAGAAGTCACGATCTGATTCCACCCTCAATTCATGCCACTGCCTGTGCTTGGTATCTGCTCAGTACTCACTGCAGATTCTTCTCAAAGTATACAGCTTCCGTTATTTAGTTCCTTACAGTCTAATGCAGCATCTTGACAGGGCAGTGAGTGGGTGTCAATACAAAGACATCCCCTACTGGGAGACAGGCTCTGAAAAGGAATGGCCCTTGAAGTTAACTGCTTCCTGGAGGGCTTGTCACACACAGACAGAGTGTCTCCCGCCACCCCCTCACACACCAAAAGATGCCAGGTTCTCAAACGCTGTTTTATGGGAACAGAGGGACAGGCTCCATCAGAAGCATTCACTGAAACAGAAGAAAGAGACCAAACCAGATCCCCTTGGCTTACTGAAAAGTAGGTTGAGAAAAGCTCTGCCGTACTCGAAAAAGCAACCCGAGTATGGTCGTCTTTCCCAATGCAACAGCACAAGAGCTTGATTCTGGTTTCCCACACGCTTGTAGCTGCTGTCTTGAGGCCATTAAGTAACTGGCTTGAATCATGACTATCCAGGTGGCTGGGGCCAGCAGATGAATATGGAGCCATTTTCCCCCCCAGAGGGTCAAAGACAATGACAATGGAAACCACCGTGGCAGCGATGATGATCCAACTGCAAAACAGAGAGAGGAAAAGGCTCGGTGACTGCAGGCCCCAGGCACAGGCATCAGGGATCCCTCCTCTGGGCTCAGTTTCTAAGTCTCTACCACGGAGTGTCCTGTTACCAAGCAAGATGCAGCTCTCCCAGAACCTGCCTGAGGTGAGCAACTTTCTTCTAGAAAGTTCCTTATGAGGCTGGGCATGGTGGCTCGTGCCTGTAATCCCAGAACTTTGGGAGGCCGAGGCGGGTAATCACAAGGTCAGGAGATTGAGACCATCCTGGCTAACATGGTGAAACCCCATCTCTACTAAAAATACAAAAATTAACTGGGCATGGTGGCATGTACCTGTAATCCCAGCTACTCGGGAGGGTGAGGAAAGGAGAATCACCTGAACCTGGAAGTCAGAGGTTATAGTTAGCCAAGATAGTGCCACTGCACTCCAGCCTGGGTGACAGAGCAAGACTTCGCCTCAAAAAAAAAAAAAAAGAAAAGAAAAAGAGAAGAGAAAGAAAGTTCCTTATGAATCAATGGTTAACCCAGGCCCTAGAAAGATTACAGCCCTAAAAGGAAAGGCCGCAAAAAGAATAGGGCAGAGTTGCAGCCTGGGCCCGGAAGTAGTGGGCACTTATTCTCCTTTAGAGTCTCAGGGCTCTTCTCATGAAAGCAAAAGAATTTCCTTATCACAGGGTACTCTGATAGACCTTTCATCTATGTTTAAATATTTCCACGCTGCAAGCCACTGTATTCGGGAGCACCTGCCACAGGGAAGATGTCCCTTCCGAAGGGGCTCTGCTGCCCCCTGGCGGTGTGACTTAGGAAATGCGGCAACAGCCCAGGTCTAATTCCTTATTTATAACAGAGGGTGTTGAGGGGGCAGAACTGGATCATCTCCAAGATTTTTAGCCTAGAAAACACGAAAACCTTATGGTTCTAGATATTATTCCCTGTCCCACTTCTGGACACCATATCTCTTCTTATACCTTTAGTTTTAGTTTTTGATCTTGTTTTGGTCTTCGGTTTTCTTCTGAATACTTGTAAGAGAAAGGTTAGGAATAAAAGACTTCAAGAAAAAAAAAAAGAAAGGAACGTAGAAAAGAGAGAAGCAGTAAGAAAAGAAATCTACATCAATAAATGCATAATGAAAGATGAGTTATATTTCATTGATAAACAAGTGTCTCTAAAATTTTCATGAGTTACTCAGAAAGTAACTCCAATTTCTAACTATTTCAGGAAGCTCGAGGAATGCCAGGCTCTGTCATGTTACAAGCGTTTGTTCCCCTATGTCTCAAATGCATGAAACTAAAAGAGAAGAAAGGAGACCTCACCTGACCACGACGGTTGCGATGATGCCGTTCACAACTGTCCTGTCGCACTGAACACCATCAGCCACCCAGGCGGCCCCCAGAGAGGCCCAGACCATCTCTGGAAAAAAGAGTGCCAGCCGGATGTAAAGCAGCTTAGACATAGACTTCCGAGGTCCAGGGTTACAAATCGTCCCTGAAATACAAAAAAACATGCTTCCTCAGAGATGAAGAGCTTCCTTTCTGCAAAAATATAGTTTTTGCAGAGCATACATCTGTACTGTTCATACACCTGCCTCCTGACTTTTCCGACTTATGATTGGTAATCAGTACCTAAGTTAGACAGCAAGTGACAAAGTGAGGATGGGAAACATGACAGTAAGTCTCAGGCTCCTTTTGAAGATTTACCAGGGATTAAAAACACTCCTGGGTTAGGCCAGGCACGGTGGCTCACGCCTGTAATCCCAGCACTTTGGGAGGCCGACGTGGGTGGATCACAAGGTCAAGAGATAGAGACCATCCTGGTCAACATGGTGAAACCCCGTCTTTACTAAAAATACAAAAATTAGCTGGGCATGGTGGCGCACGCCTGTCGTCCCTGCTACTCGGGAGGCTGAGGCAGGAGAATTGCTTGAACCCAGGAGGCAGAGGTTGCGGTGAGCCAAGGCTGCGCCACTGCCTGGGTAACAAGAGTGAAACTCCGACTCAAAAAACAAACAAACAAAAAAAAAACCACTCCTGGGTTCTAACTTGGGTAACAATATAATCATTGCCAAACTGCTATACATCTGAGAGCAAAAGAGAAGACTATTATTAATTAAGCTGGGGCTGCGTGCGGTGGCTCAAACCTACAGTCCCAGCACTTTGGGAGACCAAGGCAGGTGGATCACCTGAGGTGAGGAGTTTGAGACCAGCCTGGCCAACAGGATGAAACCTCATCTCTACTAAAAACACAAAAATTAGCGAGGCATGGTAGTGGGCGCCTGTAATCCCAGCTACTTGCAAGGGAGGCTGAGGCAGGAAAATCACTTGAATCTGGGACGCAGAGGTTGCAGTGAGCCAAGATCGTGCCACTGCACTCTAGTCTGGGCGACAGAGTAAGGCTCCTCCTGAAAATAATAATATTAATTATTATTATTATTATGCTGGGACAACAGCCACAAAACAGAACTGTCCCAGGCAAATAGGAATATATGGTCACCCAAGTTCTAACAGCCAGAAAATAAGCTGCACATCCCTTTGAGACCTATATTGTTCTAGACACCAACCTAAAACACTTTATGCCCACTCTTCATTAATCCCCACAATGACTGGGTTAGTCATTATTTCATTTTACCTATGAGGAAGCTGAAGCTCGGAGAACTTAATAGCTATCTTCGTTTGGAGACAGGGTCTCACTCTATTGCCCAGGCTAGAGTGTGGTGGCATAATCACAGCTCACTGCAGCCTCAACCTCTTAGGCTCAAGTGATCCTTCCACTTCACCTTCCCCGCTGGCTGGAACTACTGGTGCACACCACCACCATGAAATAGACCTAACAGTCCCATACACAGTTGTTTTGTTGTTGTTAATTTTTGTGTTTTTTTGAGATGGAGCCTCACTCTGTCACCCAGGCTGGAGTGCAGTGGCGTGATCTCGGCTCACCACAACCTCTGCCTCACAGGTTCAAGCAATTCTCCTGCCTCAGCCTCCCGAGTAGCTGGGATCAGAGGCATTATACACAGCTACTTTTGTATTTTTAGTAGAGACAGGGTTTCATCATGTTGACCAGGCTGGTCTTGAACTCATGATCTCAAGTGATCTGCCTGCCTTGGCCTCCCAAAGTGCTGGGATTATAGGTGTGAGCTATCATGACCTGACAGTTGTTTTTGGATAAACATAGAAATGGATTCTTCTGGTAAGCTTGAAACTTCTTTTTTTTTTTTTAACCTGAGTTCCTTTCTCAGGAAAGGACTTTCAGGAAGTATCAAAAACGGAAACTCACCAGATCACCAAAAAATGCCTCTTTGCCCTGCCCTGGTTCCGAATCCATTTTCTGTTTATAACAGGGAGATGGATTTGAGACCAAGCTCCTTTCTCAGTGGCTGTAGCACCAGATTGAAACCTTCTTCTTTGGAAATACTCAGTGACTGGCTTTCTGTGGGGCAAGCCACAGGCCCCAGACTGAACCCCTGGTGTTTTCCTAACAACACCCAGCTAACTGTTCATTTTTTTGTAGAGACAGGGTCTTTCTGTGTTGCCCAGGCTGGTCTCAAATTCCTGGCCTCAAGCAATCCTCCACCTCGGCCTTCCAAAGTGCTGTGATTACAAGTGTGAGCCACCATGCCCAGACTACTTTCTAAGATTAATCCAGGTCTGTGTGACATGTGCTATTTGTCCCCATGGTCTTCATTTTTGGGAAGTAAACAATTCTGTTGTGTGAGGCCACTTGAAAATGTCTCACACTTAGACCTGACATTTTTACTATATTTGTAAAACAAATATTTAAGTACCTATAGAGTTCTGTGTAGTTTTGCTTTTATTCTGAGACAGAGTCCCACTGGAGTGCAGTGGCACAATTTCAGCTCACTGCAACCTCCGCCCTCTGAGTAGATGGGATTACAGGCATGTAGTACCACATCTGGCTAATTTTTTTGTATTTTTTTTTTCTTTTGGAGATAGAGTGTTGCTCTGTTGCCAAGCTCCAGGCTGGAGTGTAGCAGCACCATCTCGGCTCACTGCAGCCTCTGCCTCCTGGGTTCAAGTAATTCTCCTGGCTCAGCCTCCTGAGTAGCTGGGACTACAGGCATGTGCCACCACGCCCGGCTAATTTTTGTATTTTTAGTAGAGACAAGGTTTCACCATGTTGGCCAGGATGGTCTCGATCTCTTGACCTTGTGACCCGCCCGCCTCAGCCTCTCAAAGTGCTGGGATTACAGGCATGAGCCACTGCGCCCGGCCCATTTTTTTGTATTTTTAGTAGAGACAGGGATTCACCATGTTGGCTAGGCTGGTCTTGAACTCCTGACCTCGTGGTCCGCCCACCTCGGCCTTCCAAAATGCTAGGATTACAGGCATGAGCCACCCCGTCTGGCCTGTGTGTTTTAATTCATAATGTAAAACCTAGACTCTCTCCCTTTGGGAAGTTATAATAAACACTGATCTAAGTAACATAAAAATGCCAGATGGGCCAGGCGTGGTGGCTCACGCTTGTAATCACAGCATTTTAGGAGGTTGAAATGGGAGGATCAAGGCCAGGAGTTTGGAACTGCAGCGGATACCACCACTGTACTCCAGCCTGGGTGACAGAGCAAAAATCTGTCTCGAAAAGCAACAAAACAAAAAACCAAAACCCACATAATTAAAACAAAAATGATTGAAAAAAATCTAAGATTTAATAAAAGACTTGGTAAGGAAATAGCTTTATTATTTTTTTTTTTCTGAGGTGGCATCTCGTTCTGTCGCCCAGTATGGAGTGCAGTGGTACAATCTTGACTCACTGCAACCTCCACCTTCCAGGTTCGAGTGATTCTCCTGACTCAGCCTCCTGAGTAGCTGGGACTACAGGTCTGTACCACCATGTCTGGCTAATTTTTGTATTTTTAGTAGAGAAGAAGTTTCACCATGTTGGCCAGGCTGGTCTCAAACTCCTGACAAGAGGTGATCTGCCTACCTCAACCTCCCAAAGGTTGAGGGATTACAGCTGTGAGTCACCGCATCTGGCCAGGAAATAGCTTTTAAATTCCAAAAATTACCTTCTGTTAGAATGATTTAAATAGTTACATTTTAAAATATTAGGCAATAACAGCCTCATTTTTGGCACAGACAGAATTTCATAAGCTAAATAATTGTAACAGTAACCTCTCTGAGGGGGAAAGGGTGCAGGTATGGTAAAAACAACAAAACAAAACAAAACAAAAAACACAATTCTATATCTGGAGCTTGTTATAACAATAGTCAAACACCCCAGAGAAACAGGAAACAGTATTTGCATACACACTGCTTCCTGGAGGGCTGGGATTCTAAAAACAGATACATCATAATGTCAGCAGCACCTGGACCTGGAACTCCAACTGTGATGACAACTGCTGATGAAATCCACAGACAAGGAATCAAGAGATGGAGTTGCTCTGAATTAGGATCCAGAAAATAAGATACTGATCCCAGCACATTAGGAGGCTGAAGAGGAAGGACTGCTTGAACCCAGGAGTTCAAGACCAGCCTGGGTAACACAGAGAGACCTCAACTCTGATTATTTTTTTAAAAAGATGAGGATGATGATGATGATGATACTGAGGAAATCTCCTTTACATAGTTTTGCCTGCCTAGAAAAAATTTCTGGCTGGGTGTGTTGGCTCACACCTGTAATCCCAGCACTTTGGGAGGCCGAAGAAGGTGGAGTGCCTGAGCTCAGGAGTTTGAGAAGAGCCCAGCCAACATGGTGAAACCTTGTTTCTACTAAAATACAAAAAATTAGCCAGGCATGGTGGTGTGCACATGTAGTCCCAGCTGCTCAGGGGGCTGAGACAGGAGAATCGCTTGAACCTGGGAAGCGGAGGTTGCAGGGAGCCAAGATTGTGCCACTGCACTCCAGTCTGACGACAGAGCAAGACTCTGTCTCAAAAAGAAAAAAGACAAAAATTATATTTTATTTCTCTTTAAGATAAAGAGATTCTGGTATGAACCTGGCTGGTGCAGCAGGCCTTGTAAGGTCACTGGCCCCATAACCAAGAAACACAGCTGCATTCCTGAATGTAATGTCCTTACCACCACCTTAGTTAAGTAACTCTGTCATCCATCATCCGGCATAGCCACTTATGTAAGAGCAACAAGAGGAAGGGCTAGGTCCCAGAATCGTTACATTCACCTCCTACAGCGACTGCAGTAATCTTCTCTGGCCCCAGCTTAGTCATGAGCTCTTGGGATACAAACGCAGAGAAGACACAAGCAGACATCCCACAATCAAAGCCAAACATGGTACATAGCACACCATGTCAAAGTGCTCTTCTATCAAAACATGGTAGTCATAAGGGTGGACCATCCCTAATTAAATCTCCCACAAGGTGGAGCTGTAGGATTTCATCTGGGAGGTTTTCAAATAAAAAATAGAAACTAGGCCAGGCGCAGTGGCTCAAGCCTGTAATCCCAGCACTTTGGGAGGCCGAGGTGGGTGGATCACGAGGTCAAGAGATCGAGACCATCCTGGTCAACATGGTGAAACCCCGTCTCTACT